CCTCGCGTTGGCTCCGCCAGCCGTCGGCGCTCCAGCGCACGCTCACGCGCTTCTCGTACGCCAGGTCCAGCACGCGCGCGCTCCCGGCCACGCCCAGCGGGCCCGCCTCGGCGCGTTCCAAGCAGATGCGCTGCGCCTGCAAGCGGGCGACGAAGTCGGGCTCGCTGGCCGGCTCCAGGGCGGCGCGCGCCTCCTGGGGGGGGTGAAAGAGGGAGAGGGAGGAGGGCGCCCGGGTGAAGAGAGGGGAGAGACGGGGCGGGGCTAGGCGCTGGGTCAAAGAGGCCGCCCCGGCGTCCCGGCTTCCGGGGTGGGCCCCAGCAGGGAGAGACAGCCAGAGCCGCTCGCGATGAGGAACCCCACAGGGGACGAGCGAGGCCCAGCCCGGGGTTGGGGATGGAGATGCGTGTTCCTCGATAAATCCACTCCCAAACGCCCGCCGCGGCCGGGTGGGGGCAGGGAAGGGGGCGTGCCAGGCCGCCTACCTGGAGGCCGCGGGCGCGGGGCTGGCACGGCGCGAAGTGGCGGAGGGCGTCCCTCTGCAGCTGGATCTGCACGTGGCGAGGCACCCGGGGCAGCTCTCCGGGGCGGAAGCGGCGCACGGCAGCCAGCTCCAGCCCCAGCGCATCGGCGAAACGCACTCTCTTGCGGGTATCGGGGCTGCGGCTGCGGGGCGCCCGGGCTGCTCCGCCTCCAGCAGGCGCCGAACGGGCCCGGCGGCCCCGGCTATGAGCTTGAGCGCGGGATCGGGCCCCGAGCCGCGTCCCGCCCTCGCCAGGCTCCTCCTCCTGCTCCTCCTCCAAGCTGGGCCGCTGGCTGCGGTAGTAAGCGCGCTCGGTCAGAGCGGCGATGAAACTCAGGTTGCGGGGTATATCGGTGCGGGGGGGCCGCTCGCGAGACATGGCTCCCCCCGCCCCGGCGGGTCTTGCCTGCAGCTCCGCCGCACCGCCCTCCCTTCCTCTCTGCTGCCCGCCCGGCGTCCACACGGGAGCCGCGGGACCCGCTTCAGCTGCCCTTCCCGTTTGCGTACTCTCCTTGCTGTCACCTCCAGAATCCTCCACCTCCCGTATCTCTGCCTCGGCTGGGTGACCACCTTTCCCTCCTAGCCGTCAGTCCCCAGGTCTTGGGCCACCACCTCTGCCTCCTGCAAGCTGTCTGCTCTGAGCGTGCGCTCAACGGCGCTCACCCTCCGGTCCGAAGGCCGGGGCCCCCGCCCACAACCCTCTGACAGGTGGCTCCCCATCTGTCTTATCCGCTGCTGCTGCTGCTGCTGCTGCTGCTGCTGCTGCTGCTTCTGCAGCAGCACCAGGGGGCGGGGACTCCTGTTTGCATCCTAAGTGAGGCCATTCTGCTTTTTTTTTTTTCTCTTTAATTTTAACGACACAAATCTCCCCAGCACGGAAAGAGTTAACGCGGGGAGTAACCTTTCCTTTTATTGCTTGGGAAGGTTCAAAACGCCCTGCGTGTTACTTAAGCTTTAAGGCTCAAGTTGTCTTTTTGAAACCCTATGCTCCAATTGGAAGATGGGTGGCAGTGCGAAGGGAGGTCGGTCAGTTAGGTAGTCTCAACTAGAAACAGATGTAGCCTTCAAAGGAGTAGGTGAAAGATACCTGAACTGACAGTTGCGGAGAGACCTAGCTTCTGGCATAATTCCTCTGGATTAAAGTTTTCTCATTTGTAAAAAGAAAAAAAAAAGATGGATTATCATTTAACTGAAAGCCCTTTGTGGGCAGAGGTTGTGTCTGATTCATGGTTAGTTTAGCACATAGTAAACCCGCAATCTGAATAAACATGCGCATAACTCTTGCAGCTGGAACAGGACAGTTATAGTTCCCAGAGCTCAGAGCTGGTTTTTTTTCTCCATCTTTTTCTACACTAGTGGAGGGAAAAAAGTTTAGTTGTTTCTAACTTCCTTAGTGATCTTATATAGCGGATACAATGTGCTTGGTACAGTTGTATGGGTTTTACAGCCATCATAGGAGTAGGAAATAATATGGCCATATTACAGGTAAGAAAATGAAGGGAGAGGAGATAGTACTCTTGTCCGGAGTCACATAGGTAATGGAGAAGCTGGGATTAGAACCTCATCATTATGACTTTAGAATCTGGTCCCTATCCATTTGGTTCTGTAAGTGGGGAGCAGAACAGACATACTGGCTTGAAGTACACTGCTGAAGGGAGCAACAGGCAAGACAGGACAGGTCTGCTGTGCCATGTGAGTCATCTCTCTGGCCAGGGATGGAACTCTTGCTGAAGTGGCTGCAGCTTCGTAGTGCTGTGCTTTAACCTGTTGTATCACCAGGGAGGGCCCTAAACATTTATTGTTAATAGTTAATATCTCCAGTGTATTGAAATGGGGAATATTAGGAATTTCTAAATTTAAAACAGCAGGATAGTTTAATAAGTGACAAAGTTGCAAATATACAGTGAGACATATTCTTATCATTCAGTTAATTCCTGTTTGCATTGTAATTGTAGCATTAACCATAGCAATGCTGTGTAGCCAGGACTCATTTTTAAAATGAGCTTTAATTTATGGGCCCTCCCTGGTGGCGCAGCGGGTTAAAGCACTACACTGAGAAGCTAAAGCCACTTCCGCATGAGTTCGATTCCCGCCTGCCCCGGAGGTGACCACATGGTGTGGCAGACCTCTCCTGACCCACCCGCTGCTCCCCTCAGCAGTGTGCTTCGTCGATCTGCCTGTTCTGCTCCCCACTCTGTCTCTGGTGAAGCCTCTCACCGCCCCTGAGCCTCCAGCCTGTACCCCGGTTCTGTATGCACAAATAAATAAATCTTTAAAAAAAAAAATAAAAAAAGAGCTTTAATTTAAATTTTTATTTTATACACGCATAATCTCATACATGTTTTACTCCATGTTTAGTGAACGTATTTTTTCACACCTTTGTGTGTAAAAATAATGATATTCTGATTTGTGTTCTTGCCAAGTCGTTTAAAACTATCTTCCTTGCTGGCCCTCCCTGGTGGTGCAGCAGGTTTAAAGCACAGCACTAAGAAGCTAAAGCCACTTCCGCATGAGTTCGATTCCCGCCTGCCCCGGAGGTGACCACATGGCGTGGCAGACCTCTCCTGACCAGCCTGCTGCTCCCCTCAGCAGTGTACTTCATTGATCTGCCTGCTCTGCTCCCCACTCTGCCTCTGATGAAGCCTATCACCGCCTCTGAGCCTCTGGCCTGTACCCCAATTCTGTATGCACAAATAAATAAATCTTTAAAAAAAATTTTAAAAAACTATCTTCCTTGTTCTGGTTAAGCTGTATCACTGAAAGAATAGACAAGGTCCAAGACCTATCTGGCCTGAAGTCCTTCATTGAAGTTCTGTTGCCTTTTACCAAAAGAGGTTGTCAATGGTTTAAAGGGCCATTCCTTAACTCTGTGATGTAGGTTTGAGAATTCCTTGAGGTGTCTCTGGACCAGGTGTAATTTGTATTGGTCTAGCAGTTGTGTTCTGGTTGCTCAAACTAACATTAAACCGTATTTAAAGTCAACCTTTGTCTCTTACACAAACATTGCAGTTGTCTTCAAAAGTCTGAGTGGGCCTGCTCACTAAGTGGTCTGAGGCATTGAGCGATTTATTCTGTCAGCATTTACTGAGGGCTTATTAGGCCACGAGGTCATAAACGTAAATAATATTTAGTTTCTGCTCTCACAGAACTTAGAAATAAATGGGTGGGCAGGCAAATATATTTGGATCCTGGGCCTAGTCAGGAAGCAGGTACAGGGCAGGCAGGGGGGATCCAGCAAATCTTTTACACTTTCTTTGCTCTCTTTAGAGTTGTCTTGTGGTCTCACCTCCTTGTTTTTATTTATTTATGCATACAGAACTGTGGAGCAGAGCAGGCAGATCAATGAAGTACACTGCTGAGGGGAGCAGCAGGCTGGTCAGGAGAGGTCTGTTGCGCCATGTGGGTCACCTCTGAGGAAGGAGATAGAACTGGCATTGAAAACTCGCATTGAAGCTGCTGCAACTAGCTTACAGTGCTGCGCTTTAACCCGCTGAGCCATCAGGGAGGGCCCTGGTCTCACCCCTTTGTAGTCACTTCTCTTGCAGGCCTCCCATAGCCCTCTCCCTCCTCTGAGTGATGCTGCGCTTGTACCAGGCCCCAAGCTCCAGTGTGCCCGCTCATGCACACCCACACCCATGCTCCAGGTGTCCACAATCAGGCTCGATGTCCTGCTCCCACCTCCCAAGCACTTCTGCATTAATGTGAGCAAGGCTTCAGGTGATAGCCACAGAGGCCTAAAAAGGTCTGTTCTATTCACTCACCCTAAACTGAGACTTAAAAGTGCTTTTATTTCAAGTTAAATGTCTACTTTTTAGGTTTATAAAAAAAATTAAAGTTCACTTAATCTTTTATTCTACAAGCGAGCATCCATCCACATAGCTATTTTCAACATTGATTAGCTGAAATGAAGGATTGACTTCAAGAAGCAACACAGTAAGCTTTCACATCACAGTGTTATTTTCCTCACTAACACCAATAAGACTTCAAATGTTACAGTATTACTATTACAGTATTATTATTGCTTCTCCTATGACTATAGTGGCAGGGAACAGGGAATCCCTAGGGTTGGACAGGAGGAAAAGGATGTAGAAGCAAAAGGAACAAGCGGCAAAGAATTTGGTTACTTTTTTTGACCTTTGGTTGGAGTTCTCTTCAGCAATGCTGGAGGGAGTGCCAGCTGTGAGAGCTGGTGTGGGCTGAATGCCTGAGAGTGCCTTCATTTGGACCAGCTGTAGTTAGGCTTCTTCATACCCTGTGTGAACTGCCCTGTGTAAATATCCTGACATGCATAAATAATAGACATGTATGTGGATAAGTATATACACTGCAATCTGAAAGGATAAACAGCAACTTTCAAGGAGGGAGATGGCATTGAGAACTTGTATTTTTCTCTATAGATTTTAATGTTTTTTAAAAAATTTATTTTTACATAGAAGAACTGGGATATAGGCCAGAAGTGAGGCGTGTGTGTGAGAGGACCCACAGAGACAAAGTGGGGAGCAGAACAGGTAGATTGACTAAGATACACTGCTGAAGGGAGCAGTGGGTGAGACAGGAGAGGTCTGCTGAGCCATGTGCGTCACCTCCCTGGCTATGGATTGAACTCATGCTGCAGTGGCTACAGATAGTTTCATAGTGCTGTGCTTTAACCCCTTGCACCACCCACGAGGGCCCTAGTTTTTTAATTTTTTTAATGATGGGAATGAACTCATGTGTTGGGTAAAATCAATTAAAAAGAAAATCAGTCTGGGCCAGGGGTGACATCTCAGTAGTAGCAAGCTATGTCCAGCCATTGCAGCATGAGTTTGATGCCAGGCCAGGGACCTCACCCACATAGCGCAACAGACTTCTCCTGTCTTGCCCGCTGCTCCCCTCAGTGGTGTATTTTAGTAGATCTGCTTGTTCTACTCCCCACTCTGTTGAATCCCCTCACCGCCCCTGCACTGGCCTGTACTCGAGTTCTGTATGCATAAATAAACACTCTTAAATCAGTTATAAAAAAAAGAATAACTCTCCTGGCTCCTGATATTCCGAAGGCCCCCTCCCTGCCACGATGAGCAGCATTGGCCTGGGCTATGTACCACAGCAGGTGGGTTTGATCGCTGATCCTTGCACAGCTGCATTTGTATTTAGGAGGAAAAGAAATGGGGAAAAAATAGTTTTGAAGATGCAGCGTCAGGTTTAAACCTGGCTGGTGCCATTCAGATGCAGTAGAACTTGCCTGTCCAGCTTTGGCATGGATGGTGTGCAGTAGGTTGGATGCATTGCAGGGATTTTCATCTTGAATCCTGAACTGGTTTTGAAAACAATCAGGTTTAAGTTCCCAGTGGCATCAGTTAAGTTCAAATTTGCATGGGCGGGTATCTATCAAGTCTTAGAAACAGCTGATTTTGAAAATGAACCAATCAGGTTTGAAAAGGCAGGTGCCCTGCAGGGGATATAAGCTGAGGCTTCAGTCAGCTCCAGAGAGGCTTCAGGGAGTTCTTTGCAGGGATCTTAGCTTCAGCTTTACCCAACAGGATTGCTGCTGGCCTATGTACTGCACCTCTAGAGAGCCTTGAATTCTCGTCCTCTGGCCCACCCTCTAAGAACTGTCTGGGCTGGCCTTCAGATTGCTGTCATGCTACTGCCTTAGCAGAGCTACCTGTGACCACCCAGGCCACCACAGGTTAGCTGGATTCTTCACTGCTTACCATTGTGCCACCAGTTTGAGGCTCTCAGTGGAGAGACAACATTGTCTTGTGCAAGCAGCTTTTGGTTGGACACTCTGGACACTATCTGAGGTAGGACAGCTGGCCATTTGTGGCCTTACGGCTCTTTCTTTATCCTAGTCTTCTCTTTGTAAATAAGCCCTGTAGCTTCACCCTTAGCTTGAGTCACATTTTGCATTACTAAGTACAGGTGAGAACCTACATACTGTGACATCTCTCCCCTCAGTTTGCTCACCTGGTGCCTGACTAAGGCCCCAATCCACAAAGACACCACCGGGCTACGGGTCCTGAGAAGAGGATGTGGAATTTTGGTGTGCATGTCACATCTGCCAGCCCCCCAAGAGCTAGGCACCGGCTGGCAGGTCCCAAAGCACTGGGAACTGCTCTTCTTTTCCAGGTACTCCCTTCAGGACTGGAAAAGTTCAGCAAGTACGTGGAATATTAGAGACCTTCTGGAAATGCTGAATCTGCTCTGAGGTTTTTCTGAGGCCCAGCCAGTTTCTCTGGGCAGCCTGGAGACTCGGCACACTGCCCGACCCTCAGAGCCCTCTCCACCCAGCTCTTCCTGGTCTCCAGCGGCCCTGTCTCTTCCTGACTTGTGGCCCTTCCCAAGCCTGCGTCCCAGCCCCGCCCCTCTCTCTGGACGCATCTCTGGGCCCCATCATCACCCGGCGCCGGGCCCTCCCTCCCGCCCCCCCTTTCTCCTCCCTCCCTCCTTCCTTCCCTCCCTTCCTCCCTCTCTCCCTCCCTCCTAGCTCCTGCACCAGGAAACGGCCCCGGATCCCAGCAGCGGCCTGACCCGTGAGATCCCTAACCTGGCAGGCAGGCAGGCGGGGTTGGAAACAGGCTGAGGGTGGGGGTGAGGGAGGAGCTGGGCCTTTGGGTTGCACTGGGGGAGCCGGGAGTAGAGATGGTGTCGGCAGGAAGCCCTTGGCCCTGGGTTTCCCGGGAGGACAGTCATTAAACATGGATTCGGCCACACAGCTGGTAGAGCGTTGGGGGCAGGGGCCCGGGCCCGGGAGCTGCAACCCCAGCCTTTCTCAGGGCAGATCCTGATCCCTGCCATCTCAGCCTAGCTCTGATTTCCTCCTCCCCTTCCCAGGGCTCCACGCTGGCCAGGAGGATGAAAGGCCTCAGCTGGGGGCTCCTTGCCACCAGCGCTGGGTCCTAAGAGCTGCCGTCCAGGCTGGGTGAGTGTCCTCTTGCTTCTCTGTCCTGGGCAACCCTTTGGCTCGCCCACCTTTCCCTTAAGCCCTGTCTCCTCCGCATCTTGTGCCTCTGTCAACATCTTCATGTCTTACCTCTGGGACAGGCCCTAAGCCCCTTCCTCTAGCCCAAAAGGCATGCACTGTGGAAAAGGGGTGGGTAGGGGTATCCCATTGCTGATACTGTCTTAGGGAAAGAATCTAAAGTGTTTTAAAAATGTTTTTCATATTTCAAACTTAGCGGCCAGCCCATCATGCCCTGGCCTCTCTCTGTGACTTCACTGCCTTATTTTGCTCCCCCTGCCCACGGGTCTCCGAGCATTAACTCCCACCTGCCTTCCTATCTCACCGTGTTGGCCAGACCTGAAAAATGCCCCTTCTGGCTCTTCGATTATGTATTTATGCCAGTCTTTCACCCTTGACTCTTACAGCCGCCCGGATGGCGACCCCAGCCTCAGCCCCAGACACACGGGCTCTAGTGGCAGACTTTGTAGGCTACAAGCTGAGGCAGAAGGGTTATGTTTGTGGAGCCGGCCCTGGGGAGGGCCCAGCAGCTGACCCGCTGCACCAAGCTATGCGGGCGGCTGGAGATGAGTTTGAGACCCGCTTTCGGCGCACCTTCTCTGATCTGGCAGCCCAGCTCCATGTGACCCCTGGCTCAGCCCAGCAACGCTTCACCCAAGTCTCTGATGAACTCTTCCAAGGGGGCCCTAACTGGGGCCGCCTTGTGGCCTTCTTTGTCTTTGGAGCTGCGCTGTGTGCTGAGAGTGTCAACAAGGAGATGGAACCACTTGTGGGACAAGTGCAGGAGTGGATGGTGGCCTACCTGGAGACGCGGCTGGCCGACTGGATCCACAGCAGTGGGGGCTGGGTAAGAAGCTTCTCAGTTGCAGCTCTGCACATCCCTCTGCAAAGCTGGGCCACAGTGGGGAGATGGGGCTCTGGTGAGAGGCTGGGGCAGCTATGCTGGGAATGAGGTGTAAGGGCTGAGGCTCCCTATTTTATTTGGGTCTCCCTACTATGGGCATCATCCTGGACTCTGCCCTCCAGGGCTGCCAGGGCTGCCAGGTAGTCATTGCTGGATGGGACAGAATACACAGTACCCGGGGAGTACCTCAGGGAAATGGCATCCAGCCACAAGAACTTTTTCCACCTGAGCGGGTGGCATGAGGGAGGGGGATGAGGATCAGGGAGGGGTGGGCTCGGGCCAGCCTTGGCGAAGGATGCCAGTTCTGAGCAGGATTTTTGGCCAAGGAAAAGATAGGGTTTGCTTGAAGAGAGGGCAAGTGAGCCAGGAGCTCACGGGGGAGCCAAGGGGCGTACAGCCAGTAGAGCTTTGCTGGAGAAGAGCTGGGTGTGTGGGTAGTGTTTGCAGTGGATGGAACTGGAACTCTTCCTCTCCTCTTTTCTCCACTCTTTCCTCTCCTGATATCCCTTTCTCCTTCTTTCTCTCCTACTTCCCTTCTCTCCCACAGGCGGAGTTCACAGCTCTATACGGGGACGGGGCCCTGGAGGAGGCTCGGCGTCTGCGGGAGGGGAACTGGGCCTCAGTGAGGACAGTGCTGACAGGGGCCGTGGCACTGGGGGCCCTGGTAACTGTAGGGGCCTTTTTTGCTAGCAAGTGAGAAAGTCCAGAGCCAGGTGGGGCCTAGGTTGTAGCTGGCGGACATGAGACCAGAAACAGAACAGAGAAATGCCTTTGGAAGAAGTGGGGTGAATGGATGGGCGTGGGACGGGATGGGTTAGGGGATAGGGAAGTGTATGAGAGAACTGGGTGTGCCAGGCAGGCAGTTGGAAGCACTAGATGGAGACTTTGGGGAATGTATTTGGAAAGTGGGCAGGGGCAGGAGATGGAGTCATTCCAGGGTTGGGGGAGGTGGGAGGGTCATGCCTGTAGGTAGGAGGCACCTTGATTTGCAGCCCTGAGGAAGGCCGAGCCAAGGGTTCGTGTCTCCGTTGGATGAGTGGGATTTGGGGAAAACACAGAAGGCACATCCCCTTGGAATGGAAGCTCAGGGTTCTCCTAGGAAGAGTGGCTGTGAGACTGGGCTGCTTGGACACATGTCTGCATGTGCACGCGTGCCCTCTGCATGCTGGCTGCTTGTCTGACCTGGTGGTGGTGGGTTCTTCAAGGAGTAAACATTCCCTCTTGCGGTGGCAAGAACAAGGGGCAGTTCTCTGCCCTTCCGTCCCATCCTCCCTTCCCCCCCACCCCGTACTTTCCCCTCCCTTCCCATACTCGCCTCCTCCCTCCCCTCCATTCCCTCATTCTCCCCACTACCCCCCCCCCATCCTCCACCTTCCTTTATCTCCCACTATGCTTCAAGGCTAAGTGAGAAACACTGTATCTGGACAGAAGGCTCTGGGCCCTTTTTTGCAGAGTTGTTAGCAGGGCTTGGAGAGAAAGCAGTTCTATAGCTGGCCTTGTTCCTTCATCATCCCCTTCCCTGTGCATCACGCACTTGCTGCTGCCTCCTGGGCTCTGACTGAAAGGCAGGGCTGCGGAGCCTGTGGTGGGTAGAGGCTTCGGGAGCTGGACCTGCCTGCCGCCCTCCTCTCCCACTGGGGCACACTGGTGCCTAAAGTGTTCCCTATCTCTGGGACCTTCTATACCCAAATGTAAACTCTAAATTGGGGCTCTAATTTTCCTTTGGAGTGTGTGGACTTCAATGCTGATCTAGAATAGTCTGGGTCCTGCACTGTGCCTCAGTGAGACTGTTGAAGCTTTGAGAGGAACATTCCAGCTCTGAACCCATGGGTGTGCGGGTGACATGTGACTGGCCTATTCTGTGCTGTGGGCTTGGTGCTGCTTTATCAAGGGCCAGGTGGATGGGTTCTAGAGCACCTCCCATGCCCTATAGAAGCATTTATATTTTCTCTGAAGCCACGCTCTTTGCATGGGTGTTACTTGTCTGTACTCAGAGTCTGAGGATGTTAACTTTAGAGCTCACGGTCCTCTAGAACAGATTCAGATTATAGCCTTTTCTTTTGAGAAAGAAATGACTTCACTCCAGATGCACGCCCTGAGCCAGACCTCACTGCTGCACTTTCCACGGTGCTAAAATTGCTGCTCTCCAATGCTGACTTCAGACAGAGTGCTCTAGAACCCTGCCCTTGATCGTGAGCACTGATGAGCTTAGCTAGACCATGGTTGACTCTTAGAGATTGTCACTTGGTCCCAGAATGTGGCAACCTAGTTGTACTCACTAGATTGTGGGACCAAAATTGGCCTCAGGTGTTCAGCCCAGACTTTTACTTTTGAGAGAGAGGGCTGCACTCTTTAGTGGTATTTATAGGGGAGGTAGTAGACTGCATGCGCCACGTGGTCTGTCATGAGTATGCTGATTCCAGAAACTCAGAGCTGGTCTGTGGCAAGCAGTTGGGGAGGGGGGGCCTCTGACTTGCTCAGGACGAACTAGGCCAGTGGTTTTCAAACTGCTTGGCAGAACCCTGAAGTTCCCCAGGGCTTGCCTCAGGAGTCCTTGTGGAAGAGGGAGGGAGGGGCGCTGTGGGCGGGGCTACTTGCTTGCCCTCAACCAGAACAGTTCCCCCTCATAGCTGTCTTACATGTCGGGGTTCAGGGTAAGATTTTATTTGCGTTAAGGGGGGTTGCTGCTGAAAAAAGTTGGAAAACCACTGACTAGACCATGAGCTCCAAATTGGAGCCCGTGAGCCCCGAGGTTCGGGACAGACCCTCCACCGGCCCTCTACCACAGAATGCCTATGCTGGATAGCTCTCCTGGGGGTGTTTGTGAATCAGGGCAGCAGGGACCGTGGTCAGGTCACTAAAATGCCCTGCTCGGAGGCCTGCACACCTGGGTGGGAAGAGAGACTATTTTCTGAAAGGGTAAAGGGCTTAGTTTGGATTCCCAGAAGCGTAGCTTGGATGGGACCACAGCGGGCAGTTTTGACCTGTCTTGCCCTTCTTACCTTGAGGGGCAATGGAAACCCCAGAGACTCTTCTGTCAGGGAAAACTAGAGACTCTCTTCTAGAGCCATATAGTTCCTTGGGATTAACTCTTGGCCAAGAAGGCTGAGTATGGCTCCCAATTTTTAAATCATTTTTTTTTTAAATAAGGGAAATAATCTAATTGCCATTTTTCAGAGATTAAATAGGTGAAGAGGGTGTTTGTTGCTCTCCAGAGCCCCAAGGGACAAATAGGACTTTGCTTAGGCCAAGGAAGGAGCAGAAGTAGGGCAACTAGGTCCTGCAATTATTAATTCCACTTCCCATTTATTCTAGGGCATACACTATTTTACTTTTTTAAATCATAAAATGGCGGGAGAACAGATTTGGTTAGTTTAGAAGAAAAGAAAAAGCTCTATAAATATAAATATATATTCCTGTATTTTTATTTAATAATTTATAAATACCAAGTTCATTTGACTTTTATTTTTGTGTAATATGTAATGGTCGTATTAATAAAATAAAATAAAGCCCAGAAGTTTAATGAGAAGGACTGAGCAGGGTTTGTGACTTCTACACTGAATAGTCCGGGGTCCAGGGCATTTCTTGAGCCGCTCTCTTCATGACCTTGTTAAGGGCAAGAACTAGGGTAATTGGAATTTGTGAAAGTGTGGAGAATTAAAAAGAAGAAAAAAAAAAAGCTGCTGCTTATCTCCCCACCCTGACTAAATGCCCAAAGCCAAGAACTCCATCTATGCCAACCCAAGCCTTAAGAGGGTATGCATATATGCTATTTTGGGGTGGCCAAAAACAAAGACAACCTACCAAAAATCTGTGTGGTGGTAGTTAAGTCCCCAACTATGGTTCAGCCACTAATTGGAAATGTGTGATAAACAGCATTCTTCCCCAATACCCTGCTGACCACTTTAGGCAAAAATGAAGCCCCTGCTTTCTTTTCTGGTGCCTTGAGAGAGTTGGTTTCAGCCATTTTAATGTAAACTGCTAAACTGGATGAAATCTATAGAAATTATTCTATCCCTCCTCTGTATTTCTAGTTTAGGACCTCATCAGAATCCTGCCTGACAGAAATAGTGTTTGTAATTTTAAATTTCTAGCAAAAATCTTTGTATAATCCAATGCAATGAAAAGGTATTTGGGTTTATATGTTAATTTATAGTGAAAAACATTCTGCCTAGAGGAATCTAGTGTTGCATTCCATTCTCTACGTAGAAAAATCTATAGGGCAAACCATATTAAAATAGACATTAAGGGAAAGAGAATTAGATGCACCAAAGAGTTAATATCAGGCTATGATGTAGCTAATGCATTCATCTCTGCTGCATTGTGATTGATTGAATGATTGATTGGTTTATTTTTGCCAAGTTCCAAAAAAACAACATCTGCAACATCTTACTGTAATACACACAAAATAATAGGAAAAGGTTGAATTTTAAAGTCAGGGGATGAAGGACAAATTGAAATGTTACAATAAGATAACAGCAAAGGGACAATTATTAATACACAGAAATGTATTCTATAAGCAGTATTCTCAAATGCTAAAGCTAGGCTATGAATTTAACTGAGACTGAGCAGCTAAAACAAACTGGAAAACATAGAATTACATTCCTCTTGGGAGATACTAGAAATGCTATTGTTTCTCAAGGTGGGCAAAAGTTTTCTACGGAGAAGACACTGAATAACGCAGGTTATACCCAACAGCAAATATGATGTTGAGTTCTGCATCACTGTTTCTTATAGAAACACTAAGTGGGGCTCTGGTGGGTTCTAAGCTTGTTCTCTTAGACTCATCAGTTTCCCTAAATATGCTCTATGTTGCGATAGACTAACACAGGCCTAAATTTGAGACGTAAGTGGACAGACTAAGCAGAGAGTTTGCCCGCCAGACAATTCGCTATGAATGTTGTAACTTTAAATGGCATCTTTTTGATAAAAGTTGATCAACATTTAGTTAAAATTTCTAGCAAAAGGGATATTTTTACTTAGGATAAGGTGAAGAGCCTTTGAAAACTTTACAAGTTGCCTTAAAAGTGGATATAGGAGATGTCTGTATCTAAATGTAGATCTATATATTTCTATATGGATGCAGACATGTAAATAAGTTAACAGTATTTAAAAATATACCAGAAAACAACACAATGGAGTTCTATGTAGTTCTTTATTCATTTACCCATTCATTCATGCAGCAAACATTCAAACCTCTTCCTGTGTGCTAAATGGAAGAATAGGGAAGCAATGAAATAGAGAAACAGACACAGAATTAGTCCCTGGTCTTATTTCCATCTAGTAAGGGAAACAAACAAGTAAATCAATTTCACAAAATATCAACATAATTTTATGTTACAAAGTGACAAATGCTGTGAAGAAAAATAATTCATTAGGGTGGAATTGGGAACATGTATGTATAGATTTCAATACTAAATAGAAGTCATTTCTAAAGTGACTTGAGTTAGTCTCAAAAAAAATGGAAAAAAAGATTTTTACTGATATGGAAAAGATGTTTTTGTCTTATGGGAGTAAAAAAATACACTAGAAAATAATACACAGTATGGTTTCATTTTGCACATGCACACACGCCTCTATATAAGAAGGGTGTGTATGCCAAAATATCAGTGATTATCTCTGGGTGGTAGACTTTATTTTCTTTTTTGATGTTTGTGTTTTCTAACTTTTTTTTTTTTAATAAAAAAATATATCTGGAGCAGTTCAAAAAAACTTAGCCATGCAGAATGGAAATTAAGCAGCCCAATCAAGTCCTTTTCCTTCTCATTTAAATGTTCACCCACTTCCACTCAAGGCTAGGGAGTTAAGATGGACTGGGCCACTTGGCCTTAGAAGATAACTGAGGTCAGCTCCAAAATAGAGGTAAGTAGTCAAGGTTCCATGATGATCAACTCTGTCCTGTAGAAATATAGTAACAAACCTCATCTGCAGTTTTACATTTTCTGATAAGTTTCATTAAGGTGGCAAAAAGAAACAGGTAGAAGCAATTTAAATGGCATTTTAACTCAATATATAAAAACTATTATTTTGACCGACAATTAATAGATTTTACAGTCTCTTTAGCACTAAGTTCTGCCTTTTTGACACTTTAAGCACATCTCATTTACTTTCAAGTCTTATGTGACTAGTGTCTACCATAGTAAACAGTGTAGCTCTAGGTTATAGAGAATTAATTGTATGTAGCCTGTAAACATTTCAAAGTAGGAGGTACAATAAGTATGAAACTGCCAAGAAGCCAAGCATTTAGGGTCTCTAATAAGGAAACTACCTCTTTTGAACAGAACTGGAGATGCCCTGGTTTAATTCTCCTTTTCTCAATTTCACTGACCAATTACTTCCATGAACAGATATTTCTTTCTTGTACGGCACAATATTATTGCGTTTCAGTTTGCCCAAAATTCCATGACCTTGATAGGTTGAAGGAAAATTACATTCATAATGGATGAATGTCATGCCACTACATACTTTTTTTTTTAAAACCAACTAATTCTTTGGTGTTCTCTTTGCACCAAGAATAGGCAAATAGGTTATTATATGCTGCCTTAGTTAGACTGTATTGAGTACACAGTGACAGCAATGGGAGTATATATATAAAATGGTGCCCCGCCATTACAGTTTACAGTCCCATTTGGCATTATCTTTACAAGTCACCAGTAATGTTTAGATATTTGTAGAAATAATTTTATGTCTTATAGAGTAAGCTTGGAAGTTGGGAGTGTTTATTTTAAATAAAAACAATGATATGGGAAAATCACAGAACATAGAAGATTTTAAAGAACAGCAAGCAATCCTACTACCCAGAGAAAACCACCATTAACATTTTGGCATATTTCTTCCCACCTTTTATCTATGTTTGTATTTTATGATCATACAGTATATAAAGCTTTGTATACTGCTACCTACCATTCTATTGCAAGCATTTTTCCTTGTCATTAAAAATGTTTTGAAGGCATATTGAGTATATAAAGTTACATCTGTGTGTGTACAATAATTTCTTGAAAGTGCCCACGAGGACATTCAAGTTGTTTACATATTTTCACTTTGAAGAACACCTTTATTTCAATTGTGTGCCATTTTTTAGGTTATTTCTTTAGAACAAAATATAAGAAATATAATTACTGGGTCAAGAATTTCAACTTTTTAAAAAAGATTTATTTATACATTCAGAACTGGGTTACAGTCCAGAGGTCCAGGGTGTGAGAGGATTCACCAGAGATTGGGGAGCAAAAGAGGCAAATGTATTGAAATACACTGCTGAGGGGAGCAGTGTTTGGGTCAGGAGAGGTCTGCTGTGCCATGTGGGCCATCTCCCTGGCCAATGATTGAACTTGTGTTGCAGTGGCTTTGATAGCTTCATAGTGCTGTGCTTTAACCTACTGTGCCACCAGGCAGGTCCCAAGAATTTAAACTTTTTAAAAAACTTTGATATAGACTTCTAAATTAGAGAAAAGATTGCACTAATTCTTGCTCCTTTCCCCCCATACCCAAGTATTTTTTAAATCAGATATACATAGTTTTAATCATACTTTCCATACAATTTGATGTAACAACAATTATTACTGCATGTTATCACACTCTGTAGACCTTTCAACAGGTGCATAATCTTTAACTGGATCTAGTTATAGTTTGCCTAAATATTTGTTAGAATTTAGTTCCCCCCCCTCAGTTTTAGCAGCATTTATATGTAGTTATTGTATATTAAAGGAGACCTTATAGTAATTTTTATCTGAGCTGTCAAAGTTGGTTTTGAATTCCCTGCTTATTTCAAATTAGTGCCATGACTTGGGCAAATTAGTTCACTCTTTCACCTCCCTAGAAAGAATATAGTTTTGGAAATAGTTATCTCTTAGGTTATTGTTAGAACTCAATAAAATATAAGAAATCTAGGATAGTGCCTTTTATCAACATATGCTCAGCAAAATTAGGATTCAAAGGCATTATGAAAAAAATCACAATTCCTTTTGTTAACTTGGTTAATTTAAATTAGGTGCCAATAAAAATCTTGATTGGGTAAAAATCAATAGAAAAGATTTTTCTTCCAGCGAACTCACAATCTTTTATAGCTTGCGTTGGTGTTTCATGTTCAGCTTTGGTTTTCTCAAGACCTTTGAAGCTAAACTGACTGATGAAGTAATTCTCAGTGACATTTTAAACAACCGTGACACTGCTCCAAGTTGCCCAGATTCTGAGGTAAGGCTTTATGAGAAAAAGCAAGGGTGAGGGGAAGAGAGGGAGGTACACTGAGTTTTTGACTTTTGGTTTGGTAATAGGTACCTCCTTTTGTCCAGATCCCTCTGCCCCAGCATTCAGGGCATCTGTTAGGGTTGCTGAATAACTGGTTGGGCTTATGTGACTCTAGGTCTTAAGTTGTAGCTTGATTTGGTTATAATAACCCTTTTGCATACTTAGCACCGCCGTTTGTTCCTCTTTAATAAATGTGTAGGACCACGACTAAAATATGGATAACCCTGCCTTCCTGGGCTATATTTCACTGGTATCGCAGAGTTCAGTGGTGTGGGAATCTACTACCCAGAGAAGTTCTTCTGGGTGGCCTGAGGAGGGCCTAGGATCTGGGGAAGCCCTGAAGATGAAGGGTGGTACCCAGATCCCCAATCAGTTCATCCTTTGGTCAACAAGTATTTATGTGCTAGGCATACTGCCCCACAGAGGAGATGCAAATACAGACAGGAGTCAGCCTCTCATGTAATACTCATAACCTAGTAAGGAAATGAAGCACAAAAAGATTAAATGCACAGGTAGGGCTGCTAACCCTGGGAGGGGAGGAGAGGCTAGTAGAAGGCTTTATGGGAGGTGAGACAGGGATTTGCTGTGGTCTAGTTGAAGAGCGGCTGTATGCATAGAGGCACAGACCTGGGTGTGGGTCCACCTACTGGAACGCGGAGAGTGGAAACAACATTCGGGAAGTAACCTGAACCTGTGATCTCTAAGGCCACGGTAAGGAGTTTTGAGATTTTATTTGGCCTGAAAAAGGCAGCCAGCTCGGTTTGATAGTGGTGCGGGGTGGAGCAGTGCCTATGGAAACTGACTTATTTGGGGGCTGTAGCAAGTCGTCTAAAAGAAACAGGCTGAAACGAGCATGAACAGAGGGCTTTGAAAATATGCCTGTGAAAGAAGTCAGACGAACAGAATTCGTTCTGATAGCTCTAAAACGAGGACTCCTCCCTGCTTTCTGGTTTGAGAGACCTGGTTGGTGGTGGTACCAATTAATCTGGAGGGGGAAAGCGACCGTCCTTCCTGGACAGTACATTCAGAACCCTCATTTCCAGCAGCATCCCATCTACTGCTGCTATCCAGGTCAGGAGACCAGTTTCCGGAAAACTCGGCAACGTTCGGGTCTGTCTTTCAACAATTCAGAAGTTAGTAAAGAGCAGTTTCAAGATGGCGCCCCCTAATGACTAGTCATATGACCTCGGGTTTCCCTTGCTGGAAGCCCGGCAGTCCGTTCGGGACCAAGATTCACCTGTCACCAAACGTGTCAGCTCTTCGAATCTCGCGAGCCAATCGGCATCTGAGACTGGGCCACAACGGCGAAACGCTCGGGAAGACTGGTCTTTTCCGCTCGCCTAGCCAGCAGCCAATCACCGAGTGTGATATACTTCGCGGACCCTCCCGTAGGCGGGGGAGAAGCAGGATTGTCGTCATAGCGTGGCGGTATTGTTACCTAAGGAATTGAGAAGAGGTGGGACGTGTGTGATTGACAGCCCGATTTCCCCTACGGGGATTTGAGAGTTTGGCTCAATACCCCGCCTTAGAGGTGGGGTCTTATTTGATTGCCAAGTATTGTTCCCCAATGGGATACTAGTTCGTGATGACGGGCAGGCTGCTTAACTAATGAATCCTCGGCGTGGCAGGCGCAGTTCTCCAATCGCTGGGCGGCGGGCCCCAGTCTGAGCGGCGATGGCGGCGGCGGCGGCGGCGGCAGCAGCAGCGGGGGCTGCGGGCGGTCGGGGCTCCGGGCCGGGGCGGCGGCGCCATCTTGTGCCCGGGGCCGGTGGGGAGGCCGGGGAGGGGGCCCCGGGGGGCGCAGGGGACTACGGGAACGGCCTGGAGGCTGAGGAACTGGAGCCTGGGGAGCTGCTGCCGGAGCCCGAGCCTGAAGAGGAGCCGCCCCGGCCCCGCGCCCCCCCGGGAACTCCGGGCCCTGGGCCCGGTTCGGGAGCCCCCGGCAGCCAGGAGGAGGAGGAGGAGCAGGGACTGATCGAGGGTGACCCGGGGGACGGCGCCATTGAGGACCCGGTGAGGGAAGGAGGGCGAGCGAGCAGGCCGGCGACCGACCGGGCGGGTCACGGGAGGCCCCGAGCTTAGGCGAGCGGGAGACAGGCGGGGGGTGGGGGTGGGCGGGGAATAACGTGGCTGGGGCCGGGCCGGGGACGGATCCTCGACAGCCAGGAGAGGCCCAGCCGGGTTGGTTCGGGCATTATGGGCGCCTAGCGTTTTTGTAGAGCAGGTAGCTTGCTTTTCTTTACCTCATGGTCCTCGCGTGGGGCGAGGAAGTCGCTCGGTATGGTTGGCCCCGCGCGCGGGCCAGGAGCAGGGCGCAGCCCTGCGTTGGTTCCTTTTAAGCTCTTCTCCATACCCTCCCCACTTACTGTAGGAGCTGGAAGCGATCAAAGCTCGAGTCAGGGAGATGGAGGAAGAAGCTGAGAAGCTAAAGGAGCTACAGAACGAGGTAGAGAAGCAGATGAATATGAGTCCACCTCCAGGCAATGGTTAGTAACTGGCGGTTGCGCGCGGAGCCAGGTCTTCGGATTGGAAGGGCTGTGGGAGCACGGGCTGGGTGGGATTAAATGTTTGGGAACTGCTTGAGTGAGCGATTACAGTGCCACGGTCAGAGTCCATCGTGTGTTCTCCTGACCTTTGCGAGACAGAACCTGTGTTTTGGTGAGGGAGTTTTGCGCCCTCCTTTGTCCCTGTTACAAGTGTATTGCTCTTTGTTCTTAGTCTACCTCTGCAGACTTTGTGGAGGTAGACAACCTCTGTGGAGGTTGCCAACTGGCATTTGACCTTCAAGTCTAATAGTTCTTCCTTCAGATGGAGACCCTTTAGTTATGAGTCCTAAAAGAAATTGCTCAGCTGCAGGGGCCTTTCCCTTTAATCTTAATTAAGCACACTCAATTTTGTTCACTTTTCAAGTCGTTTCAACCAGAATTATTCAACGAAGACTTAATTTGATTCCTGTGCTGTTTTCTTGACTTTTTAAGACTATATTAATGTATTCCTTAATTTGTCAAATATTCAGTGAGCACGTGCCATGTGTTAGATACAGTTCTAGATAGTGCAAAATCTTTACCTTCACTGATGGTGGTGCAGTATATATTGGTCAAGTAGAAAATATGCATTTTTTTGCCACGATTCTTTTTCTTCAAAGCTGGCCCAGTGATCATGTCCATTGAGGAGAAGATGGAGGCTGATGCCCGTTCCATCTATGTTGGCAATGTATGTACTTGGGGTCTGATAGGGGTTGGGAGAGACTCTTGACTAGGGAGCATTATTTAATAGGCGCCTGAAAGAAACATCTCCAGGATGGGTAGTGGATTTGGGGGGTGGAGGGAGTGTTGGGAGGAGGTAAAAGGTGATAGTGATCAGCATTTCTGGGTTTCTTTCCAACTCCAGATCAGAGAGGCTCAGGGGTTGGAAAAAAAAAAGAGATTGGTTCCTTAAAGATCCAGATTTGATGTGCCATGGTGTATATGGATGGCTCAGCTAAGCAGGCTACCTGTTGAGATGGGAGTTTACCCAGTACGTGGGAAATGTACCTCCACAGGTGGACTATGGTGCAACAGCAGAAGAGCTGGAAGCACACTTTCATGGCTGTGGTTCAGTCAACCGTGTTACCATACTCTGTGACAAATTTAGTGGCCATCCCAAAGGGTAAGTAGGGAAGGTCGTTTTTTATTTTTAAAGAGGTTTATTTATTTATGCACACTGTGGTATAGGCCAGAGGTACGTGGTGTGTGTGTGGGGGGGGCAGTGGTGAGAAGATTCACTAGACAGTGGGGCACATAACAGGTAGAAGTACTGAAACACTGCTAAGAGCAGCAGTGGACAGGTCAGGAAAGGTCTGCCGCAACATGTGGACCAAGTTGATCAAACTCGTGCTGCAGTGGCCGCAGACAGCTTTATAGTGCTGCACTTTAACCAGTTGTGCTACCAGGGAGGGCCAGGGAAGGTGATTTTAATCACAGTTTAAAAATAGGTGAATTAAATTTTATATTGAATAGTAAGTTATGTTGCTTTTGAAACAGGTGTTTTGTCTTTTTTTTTTTTTTTTTAAGATTTATTCATGCATACAAGAACTGGGGTACAGGAGGTTTGTGTGTGAGGAGGGGTGAGAGAATTCACCAGAGACGGGAGCAGAACAGGCAGATGTACTGAACTACACTGCTGAGGGGAGCAGGAGGCGGGCCAGGACAGGTCTGCCACCCCCTGTGGGTCAGCTTCCTGGCTGGGGATCAAACTCATGCCCCAGTAGCTTGGGAGAGCTTCACATGCTGTGCTTTAACTTGTTTGCACTACCAAGGAGGGGGCCCGGTTTTTGTCTTTTAAGATAGGACAGTAATGTTCACGTATGTCATGAATTAAGCATAAATGTTTCCTGAGGTTGTATAGGTGAAAATGAAGATGAAGTATGAGTGAGATTGTCAGTGAGAAGTGAAGGGGCAACTTCTCTTTTGCCAGGTGGTGCTATGTGAAAATCCAAGCCTTGTATGCCATATTTTATAGTTTTCCAAGAGTAGCTGGAAACTGTGATGATAAAAATGTGAATACATTGTACCCAAAGTGTGCCTGCAAGTTGGATTTGACCTATGAGCTGGTATTTGCAACCTCAGATAAAGAGACAATTACTCTTTTCAGGTTTGCATATATAGAGTTCTCAGACAAAGAGTCAGTGAGGACTTCCCTGGCTTTAGATGAGTCCCTGTTTAGAGGACGACAAATCAAGGTAAGCTCCATGCTCCCTTGCTGCTGTGCTTCTATAAACACTTTCCAGGTTGCCCCTCAAAGCCTCTTTGTTGTGCATCTTCATTCTTAGGTGATCCCAAAACGAACCAACAGACCAGGCATCAGCACAACAGACCGGGGTTTCCCACGAGCGAGATACCGTGCCAGGACCACCAACTACAACAGTTCCCGCTCTCGATTCTACAGTGGTTTTAGCAGCAGGCCCCGGGGTCGCATCTACAGGTCAGGATAGATGGGCTGCTCCTCTCCCCCGCCTCCCATGAGCCCAGTATGCTTCCTTCTCTCCTGATCTGAGGAACTTCCCTCCCTTAACCACCCTGCCCTTGGTTACCAGGGACTTGCCTGTGCAGGGTGAGGAAGGTAGTTGCAGGCCAGGCCAGGAGGCCAGTCTCATCTTTTTCTGGAGCTGGAACTGGTGATAAAGGCTGGATTGCTCCACTTTGCTCTGAGAGATGCTTTTTCCTCCAGCTTTTTTTGTTTGTTTCTGTTTTTCTCTTTGAGAGTTGGTGGTGGTGAAGGTCTTTTTCATATAGAAGATCAGGAAGAACAGGGCCTCAGCAGTGAAAGCACTGCTTGGACATTTGTTACTTTTCCCAGACTTAAGCAGTTGTAGAAGTTTGAACCTCCCTTGGAAGGATACCGGAGACTAGTTAATCTCTTCAGCAGCCTGTGGGAGGATATTGAGATATTTACTCCTAACTGAGCCCATCTTTTGCATAAGTTAACTTTCTCACGGGCTAAGTCAGATGCCCACAATGTTGCTTGACTTGTGTCTCTTTATGTTGAAATAAACAGGCTAGGTATATCCTTTGAATTTTTCTTAAGATCTGCCTATCTGCTCCCAGGAATTAGGGAGGGTCTGGGGGGTGAGGGGTGAGGCCTTGAAGAGCTGTGAAGAACTGAAAACTGGATAAACATGAGGCCTTTTTTCTTCCCCCCTCCCTCCCCATCTTGGATGCATTTCTTTATTGCCATTGTTTGATGATAATTGGTTCATTATACCCCCCGCCATTTGCCAGGTGTATCATTATATCTGGGATTGTGGGGTCAGCTTTAGAACACTTGGAAATTTCTTTCCCCTTCCCTTCACAGTAACTGGGGCAAGGGCCCATGGGGAGGGACTTGTACTGGACTATCTAGTGGTCATGTTAACACCTAACTCTCCTTCTTTCTTCCAGGGGCCGGGCTAGAGCGACATCATGGTATTCCCCTTACTAAAAAAAGTGTGTATTAGGAGGAGAGAGAGGAAAAAAGAGGAAAGAAGGAAAAAAAAAAAAAGAATTAAAAAAAAAAAAGAAAACCAGAAGATGACCTTGATGGAAAAAAAATATATTTAAAAAAAAAAGATATACTGTGGAAGGGGGGAGAATCCCATAACTAACTGCTGAGGAGGGGCCTGCTTTGGGAGTAGGGGAAGGCCCAGGGAGTGGGGCAGGGGCTGCCACTCACTCTGGGGATTCGCCATGGACACGTCTCAACTGCTCAAGCTGCTCCCCATGTCTCCCTGCCCCACTTCACCCCCTTGGGGGCTGCTCAAGGGTAGGTGGGCATGGGTGGTAGGGTTTTTTTTACCCAGGGCTCTGGAAGGACACCAAACTGTTCTGCTTGTTACCATCCCTCCAACTTCTCCCTAACTTTCACAGTCCCCTCCTGCCTGCCTGCTCCTGTCCTGCCAGGTCTGCCACCCACTCCACCCCTCTTCTCCGGCTCCCTGCCCCTCCAGATTGCCTGGTGATCTATTTTGTTTCCTTTTGTGTTTCTTTTTCTGTTTTGAGTGTCTTTCTTTGCAGGTTTCTGTAGCCGGAAGATCTTCGTTCCGCTCCCAGCGGCTCCAGTGTAAATTTCCCTTCCCCTTGGGGAAATGCACTACCTTGTTTTGGGGGGTTTTGGGCCGTTTTTTGTTTTGTTTGTTTTATTTTTCAGTTTTTTTGTTTTGTTTTGTTTTTTCTTTGCCTTTTTTTCCCTTTTATTTGGAGGGAATGGGAGGAAGTGGGAATAGGGAGGTGGGAGGTGGATTTTGTTTATTTTTTTAGCTCATTTCCAGGGGATGGGAGTTTTTTTTTTAATATGTGTCACGAATAAAGTTGTTTTTGAAAATAAAAATTGTTTGGCCTCTTGGGTGTAAGGATTATTTATCTTCCTATTTTCTCTTAGATCACAGATGGCTGTTAATTCTCTGTGGAAGTGCTGGTGTTTGGAGAAGTTCCCATTTATGAATTAAAGAGTAGGAGTTAAAATTGCAACTAGCAAGAACATTATGTATTTAGTTGAGGATGATGTGTTTTCTGGATAGCCTGTAGCCCTGATTGGCATTTGAGAGGTAAATTTAATGAGTTTGAGAAAGTAAAGTAATAGATTAGAGTTATCTGATAGCATTTCTGTGTATACTGATAAAGCTCAGGTGAGTATGGATTACCCCACCAGCAACACTTGATTCTTAGATTGGTTGGTGCCTCAGTAGCCTCTTCTGTGTCCTCGTCAAAGTGAGGAAAAGTTAGCTAGAAAGGTAATTGCAAGACCTGTGTTACCTATAGCCATACAAATGACCTCATTGTATTGGATTAGTGTTCAGAATTATCCAATTAATTAGGACTTAACACTCAAATTGCTTTAGTACTTAACAGTAATTGGTCATGTTAATACCTGATTTCTCTGTCTTACATGCTAAATGTCAAAAGATCCTTGGATACTACATCAATCCCTTAATTTGGGATTTCTAAATATTTAAATATGTTCCTGCTTGTTTCTGATACAGGTAACTTTTTTTTTTTTTAAAGATTATTTATTTATACAGAACTGGGGTACAGGCCAGAGATGCGGAGGGTGAGAGGATTCACCAGGGACAGAGTGGGGAGCAGACGGGCAGATGAACGAAGTACACTGCTGAGGGGAGCAGCGGGCGGGTCAGGAGAGGTCTGCCAGCCATGTGGATCTCCTCCGGGGCAGGCGGGGATCGAACTCATGCGGAAGTGGGTTTAGACTCTCAGTGCTGTGCTTTAACCCGCTGCGCCACCAGGGAGGGCCACAGGTAACTTTTTAAATGTTTGTTTATGCACTCCGAACTGGGAAAGGCCAGAGGTGCTGGGGTGAGTGGGTTCACCAGAGTGAGGAGCAGAGTAGGCACATGTGCTGCTGCTGAGGAGTGTGGGCGGGTCAGACGAGCTCTGCCACACCGTATGGGTCAGCTGCTTGCTGGGGATCGAGCTTGTGCTGCGGTGGTGCGGTAACTTGGTGGCTATAGCCTGTTGTGCCACCAAGGAAGGCCCACAGATAACTTCTTTAGTAACCTTAGGGTAAAGAAATGGCTGTTCAATTTCTTAAGTCAGCCTACCTTTCAAGTGTCTGTATTCTGTTTTCAGCTCAGAATTGACCAATTTAGCATTTGCTCATCTGTTGTATGATCTCCTGTTGTGTGGCTTGTTAGATATTTGAGGGTCTTGGACTAGAGTCAATTAGAAATGTGGTTAGTAACCTGATCAGCAAGAGAGGCTAGTAAATTCAGTAATTATCAAGTACTAAATTGATGTTAAAGGAGCAGAGATCTCACATAGCCACCAGGGGGCACTACGTGGCTATTCAGAATCCTTATGGGCTGCTAGAGGATGAATGTGTCTGCTCTGTCTTTGTTTCTATTTTTTAAAAAAGATTTATTTAAGCTTACTGAATTGGGGTGCAGGCCAGAGGTATAGGGTGTGAGAGAGGGTTCACTGGAGATTGGGAGCAGAACAGGTGGATTTTGATAGAAATAAACTGAGGGGAGCAGTAGTTGGGACAGGAAAGATCAGCTGTGCCATGGGGTCACTTCCCTGGCGGGGGGTTGAACTCATGCTGAAGCAGCTGCGACTAGCCTCTTAGTTCTGTGCTTTAACCCACTGGGCCGCCAGGGAGGGTCCTTTCCCAATTTGATTCTGATTAAATTACCCTGCCACATTCTGCCCTATATCTAATGCATTCTGCGTTCCAGTTACTCTTAACTGCGTGTTCATGTAGTGCTCGTGCTCTTCCAGCCTGCTACGCTCATGTAATTTATTCTCATAGTCAAGGTATAAGCCAGGGAAGGCATAAGTCTTCCTAGATTCCCTAGTTAAAATGAATCATTCTTTTGCCCAGGGTAAATTACTCCTATCTAAACGTGGTGCATGAACTTATGATTACAATAATTACATCCATTTCCCTATTGCTGCCAATTCCTTAAGAGCATGAGTTGTGCCTCTGTGTAACTTCACAGTGTCTTCCATACAGTAGGTGTTCAGTAGTTAATTTACATTCAGTAGTTAATTCAGTAGTTAATTTACATCCCTCTATGAGTTTGTATTCATAGAGGGATCAGATTATCTACTTGACTCTTCATTTTCCCTGTATGATCTTAATTTTTAAAAAAATATTTATTGATGCTTATAAGTATGGGGTACAGGCCAGAGGTGCAGGGGGTGAGAGGATTCACCAGAGACAGAGTGGGCCAGACTAAAAGTACTCTGCTGAGGGAGGCAGTAGGCAGGATAGGAGAGGTCTGCTGCACCATGTGGGGTCACCTTGCTGTTTTTTTTTTACCACCTGTCCTCCATATGGGAGCTTCTCTAGCTTTCTTAGTGTTTTCACTTTTCCTTCTCTAGAAAATGGTTGTGTATAGAATTGGTTAATTGAAATGCCCTTTGACACCATTCCTCATAGTGTATTGGACAGTGTCATTCACATAAATATAAATAACTCCACAGCCTTCCATGGCCTCTTCCAAAAAACATAAGTGCTTCCTTATCTCCCATCCTGTTTGTCCTCCCATCCTGTTTGTCTGGAGATAGCAGTGAGTATGATCCTTTGTTTGACTATCCAAATCTAAAATGTCAGGTGGAGCCCCACAGAATGTTCTACAGTATGTGATACAGAGTGTATAATGGAAGGAAAGAACAGCCAGAAGGCCTGGGTTTGAGTCCAGGCTTAACATATCCCTCGGTTTCTCTCATTTCCATTTCCTACTACTCGTAGTAGTAGGATACAAACAAATACGCTATTATTGTAAGGGGCTCTACAGATTAAATGAGGGAAGGTTGTATCAGTTCTCTAGTAGCATCATTATTGAGAGTATGGCATAGGTCAGTTCACAGAGATTTGTGTTTTAGATGTGGACTGGCAGAGGGGAAGGAAATAGAGACACAGTGCTGGGGGAATCTGTGGGTAATGTTCCTCCTCCAAAAGAGGCTGGCCTCAAAACTTCAGTTTTCCTAAATTCCTTTTTCCCCCCCGGCCACTTTGCCCTTCCCTACTTCCAGTCATTTGCTGTCCCTTGATCCTTTGCTTGGAGTTGAGGCCACTGAACCTATCTGTTAGGCTCCTGCCTGAGGGCTTTCTACCTCTCTGAGAACCATCTTGCCCCCTCAGGATGCAGCTTTTGGTGCTCCAAACCACTGGTCTGTCTTCCTCATTATTTTGATGAGTATAAAATGGATTTTAAGCTCCTTAAAGAATGGAAGGCTTATGTCCTAGATGGGCATGGAACATTTACTGAAAGAATGAACAGATTTGAACTTAATGAGATCCCTCAGGCCTTGGATCAGACTTTGGTGTTCCAAAGTTAAGTGAGACATTGTTCCTGCTCTGCCCTCAAGGAGCTTATCATCTAACAGGGTAATTTAAGTCACTTCCAATACTATTATGGAGGTATTTAAAATTTAAAAAAAAAATTATTTATGCATTCAAGAACAGGCCAGAGGTGTGTTTGTGTGTGGGGGTGGGTGAGAGGATTCACCAGAGACAGAAGGGAACAGAACAACTGGAATGACTGAAATACACTGCTGACGGGAGCAGTGGGCGAGACGAGAGGTCTGTTGCACCATGTGGGTCAGCTCCCTGGCCGGCTGGTGGCTAGCAGTAGCTTGATAGTGCTGTGCCTTTAACCCCTGTGCCAGAGGGTTGCCCCTCATAGGAGCCCTTGAAGGAAGCTAGAGGTTAAAAAGATTGCCTGAAGTGATAAAGGCAGGACAGGGATAGTCTGACAGGCAGGGCCTGGCAATGAAGTAAAAGAATTAGCCTCCTACTGGCATCTTTCAGGGGTGCCTAGAGCCTCCTCTGCATACTTCCAAGGGCGGTGCCCAGAGGCTGGGAAGATTTGGGAAAGGGGACCACAGTGTGCGTACAAGAAGACCTCAGCTTCAGGCTCTAGTCATATCCCAGCCCTGTCACTCATTTTTTTATAGCTATGGACCAAATTACTGTCTCTGGCCTCGGTTTTCTCATCTGTAAAAGAGCAGTGGGCATCCCTTGTTTTTGCTGTACAACACCCAACCCCATTTCAAGCAGAACCCAGGCTGTGCTTTCTCTCATCAGCGATCTGGCTGGAGATAGTGTGCTACTTGCTCTCTGGAAGTGAATTTTCTGTGGGTGACCCAAAGGTTGAATTCTACTGGGGTTCATTCATCCCACCAGGTGACCCTGACAGAAATGACTGGTTTCTCGTCCCTGGATCGAGGCATCTCTCTGGCTCTTGCTTTTATCACTAGATCTGCTCCTTCCATGCTGAGTTCACTACCTCCCTCTTATCACATTCCTCTTTTGACTTCACTGGAGCCCGTTTTTATTACTTGCAACAAGAAAAAACAAAAAACAACCTTAACTGATCCAAACACCCACTTCACCCACCTGCAGTGACTGGATGAAGTTTGTTAAGTGCCCCGCCCATTCCTGGACTTAGCAATAGGCAGGGGTGGGAGTTTTCAGTGAACACTGGGCGCAGCGCATAAGGACAGGGAAGGAGATTGTTGGTGTTGGTTCCGCAGGAGAAACCTTCCCCCAAGAGACAGAAGGAAGGGAAGTCCAGATGATGATATGCTCATTTATTCAAAATGTCTTTATTGAAACAGAATGATAGAGCAAGAAAGAATGAGGTCTGGGAGGATGTCTTTGGGCACAGGATGGAGCCCAGACCTAGTGGTTGCAGTGTGGAGCTCTCTCCCTGTCCTGACATGAACACAAAGCAGCAGGGAGGAGAGGTGGGGACAGCTCTCTGAGCCCCCTCCAAAGCTGGCGGGAGGTGCCTCTGAGCCTGCACAGTTTGGCCTTGCTCTCAGTCCTCCCGGTGACCTTGCTGGGGCCTCAAGCCGCCTTTCCTAAGGGGCCAGCCTCCTGCCATGA